CTCTTTTTAGACAAGATGTCTTTCAAGAATTTAACATATCTTGGCATTTGTACCAAAGCTTCAGCAAAGGGAATATTAATATGTAATTTTTCGATCACATCAATAAATGTCTGGAATTGTTTGTTAAGTTTTTCTTTTTGAAATCTTTGAGGAAAAGGTGGTGGGGTGTGAGAGTAGTTTTTAATTGTAATTTTTCTTTTAAATTTTCAAGAGATTTTTCAACAATAATTTCTTTTTCAACATATTTTTCAATTTCTTTATCATCAGATTAAATTGAAATTTTAGAATTTAAATGCTTACTACTTACCTCTTTTCCATTGCGAAGATGGATTAGCTTACAATGTTCTTGACCTTCTCTTTTTGGGTTAGGTTCAGAATCACTTGGCAAGGTACCATGTGATCTAAGATTTAAAGAACTAGAAAGTTGGCCCATTTGTATCTCAAGATTTCTAATTGAAGTTTCTTGATTTGGAATTGAGGCATCAATCCCTGTCATAAATGCATCAATCTTTGTTTTGAATGCATCAGTCTTAGTCATGAATTGCATGAACATATCCTCCATTGAAGGCTTTTTCATGAGCATGGGGGCTCTAGATGGAAATCCATGAGGAAAGTTTGACATAGATGCTAATGAGGACCCTTGGTTGTCATTCCATGAGAAATTAGGATGATTCCTCCAACTAGGATTATAAATGTTGAAATAAGGATTGTTCTGCTATCTATTTCTAACAAATTGACATGACTCAGAATAAATGGGATAATTGTCATTGGAATGTCCTTCCCCACAAAATTCACACGTCATAGAGGAGTTATGAATAGCATTAACACGTAGTTTATATAATTTTTTTACGAAAGAAGCCAATTGTATAAAAACAATATTTATCACATCTAATTCTTGAATTCTCGTAATTTTTCTTGTACTCAATCATTCAGATGGCCATTGATAATTATTAGAGGCCATCTCTTTAAGAAAATCATAAGTCTCATTAATAGATTTACTCATGAGTGAACCTTCAGCGACAACATCAATGGTAGTTTTAAAAAGTCCTAGCAAACCATTATAAAAAATCTGAACTTGGAACCATTTAAGTAATTCATGGTGAGGACACCTTCTTATCAAATCTTTATACCTCTACCAAGCCTCATGTAGTGACTCAGAATTAAATTGCATGAATGAAGTGATATCATTCTACATCTTCGATGATTTAGCAAATGGGAAAACTTTTGTTAAGAATTTATAAGCCAAATCATCCTAAGTATTAATGGAACCAATCGAAAGTGAATTTAACCAACTCTTTGCTTTATCTCTCAATGAAAAAAAGAAAATCCTTAATCATATGACATCATTAGTAACACCATTAGCCTTGAATGTATTACAAATTTTTAAAAAAATTCACAATATGAGCAATCAAATCATCATTAGGCAAAACCCTAAACTGAACAGCAGTCTAAATCATCTGAATAATTGAAGGCTTAATTTCAAAGTTGTTGGCTTAAATATGAGGTCTTTAGATACTAAAATAGAGATTTTTTACTTGTGGGACAGCATAATCCCTTAAAGACTAAGTCTCTTCCTCTTGTTGATCAACCATTGTTTTACTTGGAGTATAAACTTTTTTATTTTTTCTCCGAAGTCTTCAAAAAGTCTTTTCAGTTTTTGGATCAAAACGAACAATTTTCAAATTTTAGGCTCTTCATGTACAATGACCCAAAATACCTTAAAAATTAAAGATTTTTTATATAAAGTTATTTGGATGTAATTTTGATAGTATTTTAGCTTAGTTCTTGTAACAATGCATAAAAATTAGTATGTTTTATTTAAATAAATTTAAATTAGTTAATTTAGATGAGTTAATCTAATTTTAGTTAATGTTATCCTTAATTTGGTGTTAATGTGATTAAGATAGATTGGTGTTGATTTATTTGTGCTTTTGTATGTGTTTAATGAAGGAAAAATTTTAATGGTAGAAGGAGAGCAATTTCAATGTGTAGACTTTTGATGCACATGTTTCTGTATTTCAATCATAACTCTCTCTACACAGCTTCAAATGAGATAATTCTTAGACCATTGGAAATTTAAGAGAAAAATTTACAAATTTCACGTTTACCACTTTGCCCAGTTCGACTTAGAAAATGGTCAAAATCTTGCCAAATTTAAAGCACTGCAACAATTCTAGAGCAATTACAATTTCTGCTAATTAATCAGTTGAGGCCGTGGCCCACATAGGATGATGAGGAAATCCTCATTAGAGTTGACTTATTTCTTCTCCCAACTTGTCCTAATTCAAAGTCCTATAAAAAGAACCTTTCAGAGGACTTTTAAGAGAGAACAAAACACCTAATTGAAAGCCAAGAATCAAGCCACAAAGTCATTAAAGTTGAGAAGAATTTGAAGGATTCAAGGAGATTTGGAGATCAAGATTAGAATTCTTGGTTTCTTTCTATCTTTTTGTTATTTTTTTATTTTCTTGGTTTTGTTTTTAATGTTTAAACTTTATTTGATAACGATGTGTGAGTTGATGGTGAACTAATTCATTTATCTAAGATTATGATAAACTCAATATGTAGTCTGATTTATTTATCTCTCTTTCTCTTATGATTTATGGATTTAAGTTGTTTATTTATTCTATTCTTAATGCTTCTAATTGACTAGCCACCAATTAGATTGAATTGAAAACCTAGGTTAAACCTTGATGAAAGAAATTTAAGTTGACCTAAAATAGAATAGCTTACGATCAAATATATTTAGTTGATTAGATGGTTTGATTTGCATATAGAGTAAACATCTGCCTATAAGCTATATGTAGCTAGGATTAGAACATGAACTTAATGAATCTTTCTTTAATTTAATTTGCATAGACTTATAGTTAGTTAATTAGAAGAGATATTTTTACAAGAAACTCGACAGAAACTTGTAAATAAATTAAGACTCTAAGTTAACAACTTAATCAGTTAAACTAAGTTTAGAGAGAAAGACAATAATTAGATGAAGTATTAAGGGACATCATAATCTTAGGTCTGATAGTTAAGTGAGTTTTATAAAACAAATTT